TCGATTCCGGTGAAAAGGTGCTAAGCTTTCGTCCGTCACATGACGGACATCATCAGAGCGAGGTAACATCTTGACAACAAAATTCAAGCTGACGAGCTGTCGTCTTCTGGTGGAACCGATCTTCGAATCTCTTCACTCAACACTTCCACTCGAAATGAAAGTAAGCTCAACAATTATGGAACAAGAGATTCCTTGAAACCCAACTTTTTTCGTATATAAAACTGGACTATCAGTCTTTAAATCACCATGAGCAACCTATGCTGATTAAGCTTTCACTTGAGCATTACTGATTGTCTAGAAATCGACTTATCTTGAAAATATGTTTAGCTCTTTGATATGAGTAGGCCTCGAATGTATCAGTAATTTTATCAATTTCTATCTAGTATATGCTAAGAAGAGTTGGATTTAGAGTAGTCTCTTGTTTAATAATTGCTGAGCTTACTTCCATTTCGAGTAAAAGTGTTTGCTGATGAGATTCGAAGGACAATCCCACCTGAAGATGACAGCGGATTTCTCTTGACCACTTGTTGATTGGCTTTACAAAAACATTCTTATTGATGCTATTTCCGAGGCAATCTTCTCGGATTCCGTTGAAAGCGTGTTGAGTTTTCGTCCGGCGCATGACGGACATCATCAGGGCAGAGCATCATCTTTACATGCATTTTCAAGCAAATGAGGGAGGAAGGCATAGATAGAGGGTATTTAGGGATCATGAGGTGGGTTTTCTTGACCTGTAGGCTTAGATATAGTAGTGACAATGATACCCTGACAATGATACCGTCATATGACGGACGAAAGCTTTCACATTTTCTTGATGTCGAAGAAGATCGTCTCGGAAATAGCGTCGACAATAATTTTCCGGCAAAGCCAATCAACAGCTGGCCAAGATGAATTTGCCGTTGACATCGGGCTTTGAATCTCTTCGTCAAACATTTTCACTTGAAATGGAAATAGGCTCAAAAACTCCAATTTAGTCAGTCTAAGTTGTTTAAGCTTCATGTTGCTGTTGCATTTCTCTTTGTCTTGCCTTCCAAAAGATTAACGCTCTCGTCTCGAGTGGAGGGCGATTTCTAGCTCGCCCAGATTCAGGAACATGTAATGTCGTCGGTTGTGATAGCAACAACATGCTTTTCCGATTTGATTTTAAAGAGTCCTGACTTGTCTAAACAGAAGATATTTCTGGAAAGCAGAACATTGAGCCATCGCGTTGCCCACTTAGGTTCTAGTACGACAGTTACTAAGGCTTTCTAAATTCACTCTCACAGAACGCCAGGAGCATAGATCTAGTTTGATCATTTTTTCCTTCCTAAGCTGTCCTACTGACAAATTCACACCTCGTCGAGACAAGGGACAGTCTTGTCTTCACTTGATTAGTGGACTTGACGACTGTCTTTCTGTACTTGCTCAAATCGACTCCAAGTCCGGCTTGAGGCCAGACGTAGATTGCAGTTTGCTCGCCCGACCACTTGAGCCTGATCGGCCAAATTGTCCACATTTGGATGTTTGAGGAAGTCGGAGGGAAGCCTAAACTTTCAGATCCTCCTGGGGCTCACAGGATCTGCAGATGAGACTCGAATCGTGGACGTCTTAATATGGAGTTCAGCGTAATCGCATTCATACGTATGGCTGACAGTTAAGCGAATTAAAATATTTACTTGCCCGCGTTAATTATGCGAAATGGTATATTTTATCCCTTTAACAGTTATACACACTTTCGCTAAACCACTCCCCAACTACTCCAGATATCGTTTATACCTTTCCCACTCCATTCATATGAGTTGCTTTTTTGCTTACCTTACACACTCCTTTCCTACATTCTCCTCCCTTCGCGCCAATGTGATCCGATCGTCTGCCCAACCGCCTGACAACTCTGAGCCCACAGGAGACCTGGACTGAGGCCCATTCAAGTGAGGTGTTGATGCAGACACATGCTCGTCTCCGTTCGGAGGTCAAGCGGGCCTTGGCACAGGTGAGCATGCCAATGCTGAGTCTACACAGCATCGCCTCTTGCATGCTCTGATGTAACTGGTCGCCCTCAAGCGACCTCGATTCCACATAAAAACACCAATTCTGCAGTAGCTAGTAAAAGATCGCCTGAGAATTGTAAGTGCCCATTTGAGCCTAGTCATCATCCGATTCTTGAAAATCCCTATCGGACTATCGTCTGTCTTGTTTGGGACGGACGCCTTCACTTTTACCCATCTATTTGGTCGCGTCTTTCGGCGCCCTCTTGTGATTGGGTAAAAAGTCATGTGTTTAGCGCGGGGTTGCACTACTGCTGCACACACGCACATATTTATAATTTGATGAGAAGTGGCAGTTCAAAGGCATACTCACAAAGTAGATAGTAATATGCTTCACGGTGGGGAAAAATATATGTTTGTCTTATTATCTTTGGCTAATTCAATTTGCTATACAAGATCTAGGGATTAGTTTGAGACCTATTCCCCTGATATAACGTTTTTCTTATGTATTGAACTAACTTTGTTATTAATTTCGCATTTTTAGAAAATATTAAGTTGGCAGGTAATAGATTGTTTATATATATATATATATATATATATATATACGCACTCAAGTTAAATCAGTCTATTAGCCAAAGTGGCTGTTGTTTAGTCGATCCGAATCCGACACTCTTTAGTCTATGTTGGGAAGTCTTCGCAGCATAGGCAGCATTGGATAAGCACAAAACCTTAGAACAGGCAGATATTAAAAAGATAAAGCAAGGATTTTTGAGGAGGGTAACAATGTCTTTGGGAACATCATCTTTCTGTCCCACTTTTCCTACCTGGTAGCGGCAGAAAAGCATTCGTGTGATCGTCATATTTGTCCTTCTTAACGCTTTTATCTGCCAAAAATTTATTTCCTAAAAATGCAAAAATTTTCACAAGGCATAATAAAAACCAATTATCAGGGGAATAGGTCTCAAACAAATCCCTAGATCTTGAATAGCAAAATGAATTGGCCAAGGACGATAAGACAAACACATAATTTTCAGCATCTTCAAATATACTACTATCTACTTGGTGAGTAGTCTTTTGACTGTCACTTATGATGGAATAATAACTTGGGTCAGCCAAAGTTGTTCACTGGAGTTCGGCGACTTAAATTTGAACTTGACCTTGCTTCCCAAAAGGCTTTAATTTCTTCGGGCAGGATTACAGGTTATCGTCCGTTCAGGTCGCATGAGTACCCACAACTAGATTAAAGCCCAGAGAGTGTACTTCAAATAGTAACCTTAGCACTCCGCAGCGCAGTCATGGATGCCATTTATCTCTTTAAACGATTAAGTCGTAATAATGTTCATGGACCCATTCGAGACTCTTGATTTCGCCCCAAGAGGATGATTCTATCGGTTACAATTCTTAGTGATACAAAAGATTCACAAAAGTCAAGTCATACTTGGAAGTGTTAAAATATACTAAATTCCAATTAGTTTTCTGTAAATTTATTCCAGATCAAAATAACTAAATTTAAGAAATATTATTTAACTGCTTGATTTACACCAACTATATTTATTTTAGAAGTTTTTTGACCTTGTTTTCTCCACTTGGTCATATTGTTAGGAAGACTTAGAGGAACGCACATTGTCCTGAGTCCATTGTATGCATAATCATTTCCAAAGTCGGACCGTGGACGTGGTACATTCCCAGACGTTTGGCCGGTATCTTAGTCGGCATGGTCAGTAAGTTTTACCATTCGTAGCACCATATTACAATTCGTCTAAGAGACAAGTGAAGCCGATCCTTTGACCAAACGTGTCCTAAACAATTGTGGTATCTCCCATTCTGCCCTGGCCCATTCACATTTCATAAATCAACCTATCACACCTTCTTCTCTGTAACAATTTTTACCGTGCTTATTTTGATGTAGTGTGCTGTGCTCCTTCGAGCGGCATCCATCAAAACCCTTCACACTCCACGTGGTGTTCTCACCCCCTTCGGCCTTGTGCTGGAAATGTTGACCAGAGTCTGTCATATTGTTACGTAGTCCATCCCTGTGTCCTATCAAAGTCTCCCTCTTGCCCCGTAAGATCCGTCTACTCTTTCCATGATTCACATATTTCACTCGACTCCTGCCACCCCATCTGTGTTGCTCGAGGCGTTATTCGCCCTCCCCCTGCGTCTGGGTGATTAATTCGAGGCTAAAACTTCTGAGTAAGTCTCATGGTCACGCCTTTGGTACATGGACCACGTATCTTATAAAACCTAATGTCAGGCCACTAGCTCCCATCGCCGCCGCTTATATCCTGTTTCTGTCTCTAATACCAAGTCTATGACTTGCCATGCCCTAGTCTCTTGTGTACCAACCCACAAACGTTGTGGTTCAACATTGAACCCAGTCAAAGTAAGCAGTACCACAACATTTGTGGGTTGGCAGACATGAGACTAGGGCATAGAAAGTCGTAGACTTGGTATTAGAGATAGAAACAGGATAGACGCGGCGGCGATGGAAGCTAATGGGTTGACAATAGGTTTTATAAGAGACGTGGTCCATGTGGCAAAGGCGTAATCATGACACTTATTCTGAGGCTTGAGCCTCGAAGTAGTCACCCAGACGCAGGGTAGGGCGAATAACGCCTCGAGTGGCACAGATGGGGTGGTAGGGGTCGAGTGAAATATGTGAACCAGGGAGAGGACCTAGGGAAGGAGGACTGCGTAACAATATGGCAGACTCTGAACAACTTTTCCAGCACAAGGGTGAAGGGGGGTGAGAAGGCCAGTGTGGAGTGTGGAGGGTTTTCATGAAATCCGCTAAAAAAGGGCACTGGTACCACATTTAATTAAGCAGGTAAAAAATGGAAACAGTGAAGGTGTGATGGGAGAATATAGGAAATGTGAATAGACCAGGGCAGAAGAGGAGATACCACAACTGTTTAGCACACGTTTGGTCAAAGGATCGGCTTCACTTGTCTCTTTGACGAGTTGTAATATCGTCCTACGAATGGGAATGTACCACGTTTACGGTCCGACTTAGGAAATGATTATGCATACAATGGACTCCGGACTAAGTCTTCCTGCCGATATGACCAAGTTGCGAAAACAAGGTCAAGCAACTTCTATACAACGAAAGAAGACTGCGACCACACAAAAGGCCACACCATCTTGGTCTTCATACCTTCTATATTTCTTTTAACACAACTAACAAGATATCCCTTGTGAATTCTCATGAATGGAGGTTTACTGCAAAATATTCATTTAAACCTAATCCCAGGATTTCAGCTACAAGGACTGACAATTGGAAGATCAGGAGTAACTATATTAGAGCGCCACTAGACTAGATTTAATTAACAATATATTAGCTTATAAATTTTAAATAAACACTCATAGCAGAAAATATGTTTTTGATAGAGATGAGGGATACATTTCGTGCTTTTCTTCCTCAACGCTTCTTTTCTGACCGGGCACTAACAAAGGTACCGGATTCTTTTGTGAGTCATGGACTCAAATCGACATTCACTGTCCCGAGGTTCTCCTTCTTCGGGTTCCGGAAAATCAGTCAACCAATCCACTCAACATAAGCTTCAAACAACTTTTGCTTATTAGAAGGACTTTCATTTGGTATGAAAGTGCATGAAAAAGAGATTGGTTGGTCGATCTCATCAGATGAAGACGGATAAATCTCGTTATACTGCTTTGCTGATGTCCATCATATGATGGACGAAAGCCCAGCATGTTTTCACCCGAAACGAGGGAGGAAGTCTCGTGGACTAAATCAACTTGAATATCGTATAAAAGCTAAAAGACTGCATTATGACGAGATTTATCCGTCCTCATCTGGTGAGATCGACCAATGAATCTCTTCTTTATGTACTTTCATGAGAAACGAAAGTTCCCCTACCACTTTTGCTTAATCCTGTTCATGCTTCTTTTTGTTTGGCATTTCAATGTCAGTGAAGGTGGACAATATCCCCAGGTTATAAAACATAATTAGGTCGAATTTAAGGGTTTTTAACCCCTGTTAGTTTCTTGAGAACATGAAAGTGATGATTATCTATGAATCTGTTTACGCATAATAGATGGGGAATATAATTGACCAAAGCCAAGGTGCGGGATTTTGATGAGTTGATCTAGAGTTAATTGTAAGGATTTTATTGTATTGTTTGTCGGTCTGCTAGTCTATACATACACTACATTGAAACCTAACAGCAAATCTCCTCCTTATATCGTCTTATCATCAACTAACTTTATAAAGTCGTAAGAGTCTTTTACTGAAAACTTCTGAGCTCAGAGATTTGTTATAGCATGCACCCGATTGTAGTCAAGTTACCTGGTACGGCAGGACTCTCTCACCCCAACAAGCAAGTTCCGTCTATCTTCGAGGATTTTTCGTCGACTCTTGATTACCATCTTTGGCTCACCATCTTTCAGAATCAAATTCATAAAGTCAGCTACCGCCGCGACCGCCACTATCATCAACATAATCACCGTCGTCAGCGCCGCCATCATCATCAGCATCAGCTCTATCATCATCATCGTCATCATCAACATCTTCTTCCTCGTAATCTTCATCCTCCTCCTCCTCATCATCAACATTTTTGTCTCGTCATTGCATTTTTGACCCCCACGGTGGCATCAGTTTGAAGTGCCGCATTTTCTGGATAGTTTCAGTTAAGACAGCTTGCACAACTTTTGACAGAATCTTTCAACGATGCCAAGTCCCCCCATTTCTTGCAAGCGGTACAATTCTTAGTATAGCTTCACACAAAACTGGATGCTACCGCGCGAAATGTACACAATGGCAGGGGGTGCATGTGAAGATCTACCTAAAATACACTTTCTCGAAGTATTCTCGGCTAAGAAGGGAAATTTTTCTTCGGCCAGGGAACCAATGTCATGCAGCCTCTTTTCTTTGTCAGGAATTTCCAAAGAAAAGATGTATCTTCACCCTTTTGTCGGCCTAGAAACACCGTTTTTCAGTCCTCTCTGAGCTTGGAATAAGTATAATGGATGGAAGTAGGTTGACCTTGTTGTCGC